CAAAAATCCATAGCTTAAGTGAATATTAAGATTCTAAGATTTATCACTGAAAACTGAGGACATTCCAAACTGAAAATTGCCGTGTAGTTTTAATTAACCACTTGAGTCTGTGCATCACAATAAAGTGATACAGTGTTTAACTATATGAACAATTTTTTTTTCCACAAGAGTGTTGCCTTTGGTGTATGAGGGATGTAGCTGAAACTGTCCTGAAAAAGTCCTGGGTGTGGCTGACACCTGTCATGGAAAAATTCAGCACAATTTGTTAATATTTGGCAAACAACTGAGAGCAAGGTTTTCCAGTGGAAAGAAGTTGAGGCCCGTAGTTAGCCCAGCTCCACTTCTGAGCACACAGATCTATTGAATACTAAGATTTTCATCATTTCCAAGCTGGGAAATGAATGTCATTTCTTTCTTTTCACTCTTGCTTTATCTTCATACAGAATGAACACTACACCCAAAGTCCCACATTAAGTTTCACAGAGGAAAAAACAATACATTTTGTATCAACATAACTACTTTAAACAGATAAGAATATGAGATGCTAATACGTTTACCTACAGGTATTTTAACTTCAGACACCGGGAAATGTGCAGATTTTCAGAAGGCAGGTGTCTGCCCTCTGAAAGTCAACCTTTGTTGAAGTGCCTTAAGGTCAATACTCAAATTTACTAATTGCTTTTGAAACCTACATCTAAGAAAAAAGAGACAGAGAGACTGCCAGTAATTGCAAATCCATCTGCTGAGAGCACCAGATAAAAAAGCCATCATAGTGATTTTACCATGACTCCTCAATCCATCCTCACCTTTTTTATATAATGGGATATCCTTTTTCCATTTGTTCTTTATTTATTTTCCATTCTCTCCCTTTTCCTGTGTTTTGGGAAAAACTTTGATATTGAAGAAACAGCTGGTCTAAAAAACAAGGTCAAAAACCGCAATTACTCCAGCCCTTCACCTGGTGAGAGGTCAGGGCTGGTGCAGGCATTGGCTGAATGAGCTTGCCTGGTGTTGCCCTAGTATTATTGCCATATTCAAGCAGACAGGACTAACACTATTAGAGTGATTCATCTCTATGGAACTGAGTACAGACTTTCTCCTTTGTTAAATTCAGCAATAGGCTGAAAGCTTTGTTTGTCTGCTAAACCAAGGCTAAGGATCTGATCTTGGATCCTCCAAGAAGGACCCTGTACTACGGAAATACTTACAAGTAATTAGAAGTTCTGATGGTGAACTTTTTTGAAAGCTTCTTTTCCTGCCAAATTTCCTGTAGCATTCAAGCCTTGGGTTTTTTTAATCATTAAATCAAGGTGGTTGTCTAGCATTCCCTCTCATGCTTAAGTCAATTATCTGTAATGAATATAGGAGTTGTCATTTGATGATTTATACTCTGCTTGAATTGTAGCAATTATTTAGTAAACATCTCCTAACGTAACTGCTAAGTCAGTAGTATAACAGCTATGATATAATTAAAATAATTATAAAACCAGATAAGAAATAACATCATGCAAATAATGAGCCTAGTTTGCACATTAGGGTTTCATTGTTACCTGTTTCGACTACATCTCTTCAGAAGTTGTTTTCTAGCTTTGTTTCAGTCAACATCTTTGATTTGACTCACAAACTAGTAGGTAAGGAGGAAAAAAAAAAAACCCAAAACTTTTTATACAACTGATACAGTAAAAATAAAACTGTCAGATTCTTACATTGCTCTGGAGTACAGTAAGAACAAAAGGAAAATCCAGTAATCGTCAGTAAGACAGTGAAAATAGCAACATTAGGGCTCCATGGCCATTGTGATCATGACTGTGCTCTTAGGTTCATGTATGCATATGCACATGGATGCACGCGCAGACCTTCTCTATCTCTCCGTCTCTTCCCTATTAAACGCTCCTCTAAATATCAGCTAAAAAGAGAGGAAAAGACAAGCCATGATTCTTTTTACCAAGAAAAGGTATCAAAAGTGGTAAACATAATATGCCTTCCTGCTTTGACTGACTCTAGGAAGATCAAGTGCATTCTATTCCCTGTCAGACTGCTTGGAAGGAATGGCAAAGTAATAAATATACACAGTCACTCACTGTCAAACTAGTGGAATTCAAAGGTTGACTAAATATAAATGATTACATAAATTTCTTTCTAAGTACATCTGAGACTAATGTAGCAGACTCATTCCACTCCCAATAATATACAAGCATGTGGAAAAAATTATAGCTGGACTAATCAATAACTTTTTAAATATATATATATTTCATAATTAAATTACTAAAGTTTTCACATCTCACTGATTTTTTTGCTCTGCACCCAGCGATCAGATTTAGGCCAGCTGTATCTTTAAAATGAATGCGATGGCATTTTGAAAGAAGATGGGTTTCTCTGAGACTGCTGTTTGGTGTTACAATTGTCTTGTCTCCCTGTGTGACTGTTGCATCAGAGTACACAGTTAATGGGGCTGGGCAGAAACGCTGCTGCTGGATCTTGTAAGGAATGCTGCAAGTGTGTGCTCTTGCTCGAAGGGAAATAATGCAAACTAAAGATTATTATTTTGCTCTGTAATGGGCATGTCTCGGTATGTATCTGATCCTGCTTGCTTGGGGCTGCTTCCTGGGGCAGATGCTTGCTATGCTCCTCTGCTCAATTTCACTGATGTAGTCCCATGCACTGAGGCTTCACCTCCAGTCTGCAGCAAAACTCCACTGACTTCCTAATAGCTGGTAATTTCCAGCCTCATTTTTAGTTTGAGTGACAGCACAGTTCCAGATTTTTTCCAATTTTAATGTGCTTTCAAAAATTCCTCATTTTTGTTTGGATAAATATAATGATTATTCTGAAAATCCACATTTTTAAAAATATTTTGAATCCCTGTAAAAAAAAAACAAAACAACAAAGCAAAAAACAGAACAAAAAGCAAACACTGAAAAGGGGGCTACCAATTACACAAAAAGTATCTTTCTTTGGAAGAAAGAATTTATTCAAAACCAAAATGAAGATGTAGCAATAATTATTCTCCATTTAAATCCTGTGCAGCTGGGTAAATAATACTTCTGTAGCATACAGAAAATTGCATGTGACCTCAGCATAGCGTTTCAGGTACTGTTCTGCCTTCCTTCATCTTCTGCCAACAAAAGATGCTACCCTTAATAGCAGTTGAAAGAACAGTATGGTTCATTCAGATCCTACAGGGCTGTTCTGAATTCTAGCCTCTATTTTTTTTCACTGTTAAATTGAAGAAAAAACATAACAACATCATTGCAATAGAACCAAGAACTACAAAGGATCGCTGAAACGCAAAATGAGAGGTCTTAAACTTTCATAACGTAGATTCAGTAGCAATCAGAAAAAAGGCTTTTTTCCCCATGCCTTATTATTCCCATGTTTAATCAAGTGTTTTATTTTCACTTTTTTTCTTTCCTTTTATTAAATCTGTTTGACCAGTTGTAGCTCTGCAGCTCAGCTTAGAGAATCTACTCTTGGATTTCAGTCAGAATTGTTAGTTACACACTTCCCTACATGAATTAACTCAGGCTTTTGTAACATTATAACTCACTTCAAGATCAAACAATGAGATGTGGTATTTGGCATTTTGCAAGTCTCATCTTTACAAAAATCCCCAATAACACAAACTTTACAACAGCTGTCCTTGAAGAACTTGGTTTGAAGAATGCTATTTTAAAAGGGAAAGAAAAGTATCTTTACATCAACTTGTCTGTTACAGACCAACATGACACTGCTCTGCTGTATCTCACTCTGAAACTGCTGCTTGTACAAATTCAGTATTCTACATTGTTGTTTGTAAAATATATGCCAGAAATAAGGACTTCAAATTTCATTTGTCTGGTTTCATATACCAAACATAATACCAGTTAGCCTGTTCTATAGAAATATTTTTCTCCAGGCCATATCCTGCCTTCTTAGAGTGAAATTTTGCCATGGGAGAAGTGCCACATATGTTGTAGAAGCCAAATTGCTACTTTGAATAGAAAGACATTAACTTTTCCTCTCTTCTACCAACTGAAAAAGGTGAAATATCTGTACTGACGGCTCCTTGTTGACTTACCTTGCTGTTATCAGTGAAATTGACAGCAGACGCCTATCAAAAAATATTGGAGATATTTGAAAAAAAAAAAGCAATAATGAACCTATAGGGCCTCATGTTGTACAGGGGACTCCAGCATTTTGTCTTGGTCAATCCTGCTGTTGAACAATGTTGGAGAGAACTGTTAAAAATATGTCTCTGTGGTCATTATTGTTTTTAGATTGCACCTTATATGGGAGAATTAAAACAGCAACACTGCAGGAAGAAGAGGCAGATGCTATTTTTTTGTCTTTGGAAGGGTGACTTCAATGTCAAAATTAAGAAAGGTGAACTTTTAGCTTTGACAAGCCTTCATGTCTTGAAGGCTTTACTCCATGGTTGGAGTTTTTCCCCCTTTTATGTATTCCCTTTTGACAAGTCTAGGTCATCTGCAGAAAAAGTGAAAAATAATGTGTTTTGCTCATGGGGATAAAATAAGGCCATAGAAGATGACATAAAGGAACACATTAGGGTTCATCTCAGAGAGCGAAATGCCACATTTTAAAAATGTTATTTAGAATTCTGGAAGAAAGGTACTTCTAGTGATGTGGCGTAAATCCAGAGTTTTCTACAGTTGGCATATTTCCCTTTTCCAAGAACTCTTACGTACTAGAGAATATTTTCTCTACAGAAAGTTGCCTCTAAGTGAAATGGTGTAATCTAATGTAAAGATCCTTTTTTCCTTTTTCTTTCTTCTTTTTTTTTTTTTTGTTTGTTTGTTTCTGTTATTGTTGTTGTTAAATTGATGTCTGTAAAACGTGCAGCTCTGTGTTTGTGAAAGATTGTGCGTTTGTATGTCATTACCTGATTTAGATCTGCCTGTTTTGTCCTGTATTCTTGAACTGCCTTATCTCTGGACACTGTTTTCACAAACTCTAACTCTTTTTCTTTCGCACCTCCTTCCTGGATTTGCTGCTTCCTTCAGCCTCACCTCAAGGTCAGTATTCACTTTTAATAAGGGTGTTTATGAGACTGTTGTCTATTCAGCTAAAATTGTGATCTCACAGAAGATTGCACATCAAACTACATGATCTACAAAATGAGAGATCAGGGATTTGGTTAAGTCTGTGTAGGAGGATGGGTTGGATAGGGTGCATGTTTAGAAGGAACTTGTACTTGAAGGGAAGAATTTATATCAAACCACTGTAAATCAGTGTTGTAGTACACTGGGAAGAACGGGGACTTACCAGTGAAGCCTTTCAATGGAAAAAAAATAGAGGACCTGGAAGCTAGACAGTTTAAATATTACTGGTTTTATCAGTTATTTCAAGAAGAAAAAAGATGGAATGTTAGCCATATTCTCTGATGCATGCTACTGAGTGCAAAACTAGTTCCTTTAAAATACTAGTCACATATACTTTAACATTTGGATTTTTATCGTTGCATCTGTATCTGAAACCTTGTGGTGATGTTGCAAAACCAGTTTTGGTGCGGTTTGAATGTGTTGTGCTGTCAGAAAGAATGAAGAGCTGAGGGTTAAAGATAAGTAAATTAGCAAAAGGATACATTTGTTGAAGGCACAGAGTGATAAACTATTGAAGAAAACCTACCAAGAGACAACATGTTGTGAAGTTTTTCAGCTATGGCTCATGGTTTTATTTTTATATCTTAAAAGCAGTTGCTAAACATAGATTTTGGTCAGATAGCTAGAAGTAAATGTCTATGGCCTACATAATGCAAGTCATACAAGTCAGAGCACATTATCTAAGGCTCTGAAACCATTTGGTAGAAAGTGTCCATGACTTCTGATGAAGGAATGGTTATAATTGTTTCAGGCCATGTCTTTGCCCAGAAAGCCACTGCTTGACTGAATTTCTGAGTTACTGACCAGCATCCAACTTTTCTATTCCTGATTAACACTGAGAAATGTGGTGGTGAGTGGAATCCCATGATGCTGCAGTGCTGCTGACGCCTTCAGATTGTGTTGGTGTTCTGACCTTGGTTTGGCGCAGACATCACATTTGTGGCCTTGGCTGCATATTTTCCTTCCTCCCACAAACTGGAAAAAGATTGAAAGTTAATCATGTTTTTGTCCATCAATACCTTCCATATTCAGTGTGTCATACTGGCATACTTGTAATTGTTGGGGAGAGGAGGGCTGTCCTTGAATGACCCTTTTTCTTCAGGTCCCAAAGAAAAGAACTGCCAGGAAGCTTTTTTGCTCTGTGAGCCTTCTCTGAAATACACGCAGTGTCTTTTCTTGCATGAGCAGAACTTCTGTTGGGTATTTACCAGCTGCCACTGTGAGTGGAGTTGGATGTGCTTTGTCTGGCTGATGTAGTGCTAAATGTAATGGAGTCCACCTGTCAAAGATATTTCTGCTTCAATCCATATGGCTATAGGTCTTTATCAATACCTACACCTATACTGGAATTTGTGATGAACAAGAGGGAGAACTGGATTTAAGGTGTGTTTTGGGTGTGTTTTCTTTGAGACCTGACATGATTTCTCTTTTCCAAACAATGTAACCGTAACTCTTACTTCTTTCATTTAGAACATACTGTAAAATGTGGCTAGAAAATGTGTGACTGCAGTTTGAGCTGGCCAAGTGTTAGGATCTTTGAAGAGTTTTCTGATAAGAGATTGTCCATTCTGTCCTCACAGTGTCCTAAGGGTTTTATGGTTTGGGGTTTTTCATTTTATTTTTTCCTATTTTTTAAAATTGATTGCTATGATGTCTAGTTGCTGAGTTCTTCATGTATTTGTTAAAGTAAGTCTAGAGTGTCAGGGAATAATAGGTGAAATGACTGCTCTTGGAACTGCAAAATCCCTGCTGGACAGAAACACAATTAAAAGTTTCTCTTAAGGACAAGTAGGAAAATTAACAGAGCTTGTGGTAGCACTTGTTTCCTTTCCTATGCCTTTCAGTGTTTGCCTAATTGCTGTTAACTTCAACATACGAAGAAACAGCCATTCTGTAAAGTTACACTCTATGTTGGAAGCTACTGTGGGAGTCATGACTTTATTTTTTCTCTTAATGGTGTCAAGCAGTTATTTTTTTCAGACATCAAAGCAAATTTATTTTCCTGGAAAAGAACTTAATATGTGAAAATTTGTGTTAGGTATGTCTGTCTTCTAGAAACACGAAAAAATACTCTGAATTTTAGCTGTTCTCATTAAGAATAGCTTTGCTCACTGTAGTCAGTGTAAACCCTCTGAATTTTCTGAGCTATTAAGTTTTCATTCTCTCTCTCACATTGATAAACTCAGTGGATATGAACATTGTAGTCTAATCCGCATTGCTGCTACTGCTCAGAAGTCTAAGGGCCTAAAGTGGATGTCATACAGATTCATAGTAAATAAAATAATCTTGGAAGGCATGGGGATTAAAGCAGTTTTCCTTAAGGAGTTTTTGGCTAAGCATCTGTGTTGATGACAGCTTTACACAAAGAACTTTCCAATGCTGAGTTCAAGAGTAATAAGCCAAATAATACAAGTCTGGTGTCATTACCTGCAGCAATAAAAAAAAAAAAAAGAAAAATGCCATTAAGTCATATGCTATGGTGCTTTTAAGTGGTTCTTATGTATACATGTTGCAAAAGAGGAGGTAGAAAAAGATAACAAAACCGACAAAATCAGGTGCTATATTGAGCAATAAAATATTTTTCAAGGAAAGAATGAGCTATATTAATAAAGCAAAAGCAAGATTTCTAGCTTCAGATTGGGTAACAAGCAACTACATCTTTTTTTTTCGTCTGCCGAATAACATTGAACGTGCTATTTATCAACAATTTATCTTTGTAGTATAGCACTGGAATGGAATAATAGCTGGAGCAGTAGATCAGGAGGCTTGTCTTTTAATGTCCAGCTTTCTACTGTCAGGTTTTCAAATAGTTTATATTACATGTTTAATTGTACTGTCTGTCATCTTTCGAAGCAAGTAATCCATATCTTAAGAGAAAGAAGTTTGTTGGGGTTTTTGCTATACTGAAGAGAATTTGATGCAATAGGAAGTAATAAAAAAATACTATGAACCTTATTTCCACATAGCAAAGTGGCTTGGTGATTAGATGAGTGCATGCTGGTGGCATGAATCCAGATAAAAGTCTGTTATGAGTGTCCATGTAAAATTAAATGTCAGTATAGCAACTCAAGTGTAGCCTTATAAAGTCAAAGTAAAAACAAAATCCTACGTCTGAGGGGATTATTTCAGTCCTTTTTCCAAGGTCCTAAATTTATGTTAAACAGAACATGTTTAATCACCAAAGAAGTATTTAAAACATACAATCATTCTATAACAGAAGGAAAATAACAGATAATAGTGCATAGAAAGTTAAGCAAATGCAGAGAACTCAGGATACTATTCAGTAATTGGTAAAAAAAATAAAGGCAGAGTACTTAGTTACAGGCATATACAGCCTGTGGTACCTGTGAGTTTGTGATGGAAATACCTTTGTACTATACCTCTAGGAAGCTGTGTATGTGAACACTAAGAAAGTGCCTGGGCAGTCGGGAGAAATTTCACTGGAAGTGTGTCTGACTCTTTAGTTCATACCTTCAGAAGACTCAGGTCTTCATTCTGCCACTATGCTGGTCATTAATCACATATGGAAATGATAAAAATTTCAAGCATGTCGAGTCAGCAATGGTTAGTTTTAGCTCAGCAGAGCCAGATACAGTGCGTTCAAAGAAGTTTCCATTTAAATTTTCTTGGTCATCTCTGAAAAATAGCGACCTCTAATAATTGTTTTCTATGTAGTATGTTTCCTTAATTCTACTTAGAGGAAAAATGGCACAGTCTTTCAAATTAGGTATAGTGATTACCAGAGCTTTTTGCCTTTGAAACGGAATCTGTATCTTTTCTGTCAAAGGTCCTCTTTTCTTGTCTTATTTCACTGCATCTTAACAAAGCAAAATTATTCACAGCTGTACATCACCTCAGAATTCTCACTCGCATGAATTGATTTATTTCTTATTACTGCTGAAATTAATTATATGAAACACTGAGGAGCCGTTTTTATGTTATTGCTGTTTTCAGTACGTGTATTCACGAAGTGTGTTGCTTTCCTGTGGGAATTTGAACTGAGGTAGCATTAGAAAGATGTGATTGGATATGGCACTAGGGAGAATGTTTGTATGTCAACAGTGTGCTGTGAATTTTGAAGAGCTCCAAGTCAAATGCTCTCAGAGATGAGAGGAATTCTTCGCAATTTGCTTTTTTTCAGATGCAACCATACTATTTGAAACATCAAAATACAACATTATTTTTGGAAGACATGTTAGAACATGTCTTTACATTCATATATCCCAAATTTAACAAATTACCTAGCATGCCATCATCATCAGATTAACTGAAATTATCATTCAAACTTCATGCAACATTAAACATTTTGGCTAACCCATATGTGTCACATCACGTTTACTCTAAGGAATGAAATCTGAAAGTTATTTTTCATCTCTAATGTCTAACTTCTGTGCAAAAATTTATACCCCCCAAATTGTTAGATTTTTTTCTCTTTTGACTAGATTTTCACTTTCTATGGGCAGAGTGAATTTTATGTGTCTATGGTAAAATAGTCTTGGTGCACACGTTTCCTTAGCTGACTCCCAGAAGCTTTAACAGACCCTAGACTTGGCAATATGATAGTTACAGAGAACTGTTGGGCAGGAGACCTTTTTAAAAGGTTACTGAAGAGGATGGAGAGTTCAGTAGCTTCTTTTCCTCCTTTTTTACTGGTAAGGACCCCTTTCAGATCCCTGAGCATAGAGGCAGAGTCTGCGGGAGTGAAGGGTTACCCACAGAAGTAGAAGATGAACTTGAAGACCACTGCAAGAAATATGCAGGTTGATGGAATCAGATCAGATACATACAGGGTTTCTGAGGGAGCCAGCTGATACCATAGTGAGGACTCTATCATCTTCAAAATCTTGTGGCTGTCAGGGGAAGCTCCTCATGACTGGCAAATATCCCATTTATCTTCAAGGAGGATGAGAAGG